TGGCCCAGGCCCCTCTCAGTGAGCGCTGGTGCCCAGATCAGCCGGGCTGAGGTAAGCCCAGGCTGGGTGAGGCTTTCTGGCCAGAGGGACAAAGGGTGTGAGAAAGTGCATTGTGCTGGTGGCTGCCAGGTATCCTCACTGCATGTGGCAAATAAACTGAACCTAAGGAGGCTTCAAGGGAGGAGAAACAGACGTCTGAGGATGGATTCGTAGGTTAACTTCACAGATATGACTGACACAGGCCTTGCTTTCAGCGAGAGGCCTGTGTGGAAAGCTGGCACAGCCCTGTGAGAGCCAAAGGTTTAAGTAATGCAGCCCCAAGGGCTGGCTCAGGCCTCAGCAAAGGGTGTCCCAGAAACCAGCTCTGCCTCTCCTGCCCCCCAAGCCACCTACTCTACAGGGAGAAGGAAACCAGCTGGCCCCAGGCCATGGGCTGGCAACTGTCCTAGGCTGGGCAGGAGGCCCAGCTGGGCTGTGGGGCACTGAGGGCAGCAGGGCCCTCCTGAATCTTGTCCTTAATTTAACATACCCTTGGAGATCTGCTTCCTCCACTGCTTTAGAGGAAGGTTCTGATAGGCAAGGAAAAAAGAATTGCAACAGCAGTTTGCTTAGGAGCTCCTGCTTCCTTCAAAATGTAGGATCGGGTTTTTGATGTGAAACAGCTTCTGGTGGAGGTGGTCCCAGCGATTCTCCTGCTGGGAGCCAGGGTGAGTCCAGAGGGGAAAAGAAATATATGGATCAGCTCCAGAAGGGAACCCAGTCCTTGCCTAGCATCCAGCCTCACCTTCTTGACGTGGCTGTACTCATGAGCAATTGTAGCTTCAAGTGTCTGAACCCCAAAAGAAGCAGGTGAGCAGAACAAGTGCAGCTGTACTGTGCCATTGCTCCCCAGGTCTCCCACTGGCCATGCATTCTTCCATTCCTTGTTTTGACATCTTCATTTTGGCTCCCAGTTGAATGAATTTCTGTCTCCTGTTACCAGCGTGAGCACCCAGGCTGTGGTACCCCGTGCAGTCTGGGCTAAAGGCTGCCCCATGAGCTCTGCGCTGCTCTGCTGAGCAGATGGTTGGGTGCTTCCCGCAGCGACCTGAAGGAGCTGGTTCTGCCTGGGCAGCAGAGCCCCTCGGTGGGGCGGGGGCTGGCGGGGCAGCATCGACCTGCCAAGGTCCTGCGGGGCAGTGGCTGTGCCCAAGGCCTGTCTGCAGTACCTCTGCTGTTGGGGTGAGGCAGGTTCCTCTCAGCCCCCCCGATGCCCTGGGGCTGGGCCAGATCCCGCTAGAACACAAGGAGCCCTGCGGCAGCCAGTGCCGAACTCTTATGACAAGTACCCCAGGCTCTCTGCTAAGGAGGAGCTGCTGGCCTGGGGAGCTTCTTCCCAGAGAAGGGGCAGATCACAGGAGTTAAAAGCTCTCTGGGGCATCTCTCCTCCACCTCAGCCAGGCTCTGTCCCACCCCGGGGCTCAAGGGGAGTCCCTCCTCCAAAGCCAGGCTTACAGTCACATGGCTCTGGTGGGCACAGAGCCCCCAGCCCGCTGGGGTGACCCCAGGGGCCTTTCGGGGAGCCCCGGGGGATGGGGGATGCCAGCCTGTTCACCCAGGCTCGTGCTGTCCCCGTGTTTGGCCCGGCCTGGCCGAAGCCTCTCTGCGTGCCGGGAGGCCTGTTCTGGGCCACCCGCCTGCCGCAGCCAGGGCACCCCGGGCTCTGGTCCAGCTTCTGCTG